CGAGCGGAAAACACGCTCGAGCGTCAAGAACAAAAATCTGAACACGCTCGAGCGCAATAAGGCCCGCTCGAGCGCCAAGACACAAGAGTAAAGCACATCCGCTCGAGCGCGAAAACCAGTCCGCTCGAGCGTAGATTTGCCCCTCCCAGAACTTATACCCAGGAAGTACTACCCGCTCGAGCGCCAACAAACCCGCTCGAGCGCCACCGCTTGAGCGTAAACAAACCCGCTCGAGCGCAAAAATCACATCTGCAGAAGTTTTGCAGGAACCCGAAATACTGGAGGTGTGCAATCCCCGCTCGAGCGCAAGAAGACCCGCTCGAGCGGATCGCCTAAAAACTGAACAACAAGGAATTGAAACCAAGGCCTAACCAACCTGTAACAACTCTGCTCAAAACATCCTAAAACTCAATCAAGGGAAATTAAAGGACGGAAACAAGGTAGATATCACTACCAACTTCACGGAACCGAGTCCGGAACACAACAGAACAGTAAAGGGACAACCGGGATCGCTATAGGCGACTCGCGCGCGCGCGTGTGTGTGGCAATTTTTGCATAACCAACTTAGACCATAGTCTTAGCCCAAGTCCATCCTTGAAGCATCCACAACTTCCTTCCTTCAAAAAATTTAGATACCCAAAGGGCTCACACCCTTAGGCAAAAAATGGGATTTAAATACCCATTAATGCTCTCATCTACAATCAATGTAGGATACAAGGTTTTATACCTTTCCCAACACCTCTTTCATGAGGCCAACTTAATAACTCAATTTCTCATTCAAATTTTAATGGTTTTTTGTCATTCTTTTTGTGGTGTAAAGATCTCACTACAAAGAATCTAAACCCCCTTTACTCCACCTCAATTGAGGATTGGAACCCACTTTAATATTGCATTAAAGTCACCAAAAAACCATTACTTTTCCAACATAGACCTCTCTAATTAAAATTTTTCACCTCTCTTTTCATAGATCTAATGGTCTTCTTATATAGGCAATTGAAGATGGCTTTCTTAGTGGAGAAAGTGGAGGACAATAATAGAAGTCAATGTATAATGAAGGTAGGAGACAATGTATACTAGAGGTGGATGGTGAGTAATGATGGTGGTGTATGATTAGGAAAGTAGATGGTGAGAGGTGATGGTGGTATGTGATTATGAAAATGGATTATAAGTGGTGACAATAGTGTGTGATTAGGAAAGTAGAAGGTGAGTAGTGATGGTGGTGTGTGATTATGAAAGTGGATAGTGAGTGGTGATGGTGGGGTGTGATTATGAAAGTAGATGGTGAGTGGTGATAGTGGGGTGTGTTCATTTTTATGTACAAATATCTAAAATCATGTAAAATTATAAAATGCTACAAATTAATGAACTAAAAATATATTTTAGCGGTCTAAAATAATTTGGCCAAAACAGGTGAAGGTTGGAGTTAAAACTCAAATTTGACTTTTCTGCTGAAAAATTCATAAAATATGATATTCCAATTTTCATCATCGAGTGCTCAAAAGAAAGCGCCCAAGTCTTAAGGCCGGTCCAAATGGGGTGTCTACACATATTTACACTGATCTTTCTTTCAATAAGGTTAAACTGATTAAAACTAGAAAAATTTACTCATAAATTCAATATAGGGAATGTTGATCCATTTAGTAGTCCTAAGAGTTTTCTTATGGAGCAATTAGTTCTTTTTGTTTTGAAAAGTTGTATTTATTTTATTTGGTGCCATTTGAGTTTAAGTAAATACCCTTTTGTGATTCATTTGTTCAATTTTCTAATTCATTTTTGGGATGGGAAAGGAAATGTGAGGTGTAGAAGATTCTTATTGGAGGGATTAGTGGCTAAAGTGTTGGTTGTCGACTGCTGAAATCTACATTTTTGTTAATATGATTTTTTGGTATTACATTGGATTATTACATTAGAGTGTTACATTTAGAAAAAAATATACTAAGGAGTTTTGTGTGTTACATTATTGGAGTGTTATGCTTGAAAAAAATACACTATGGAGTTTTCTTAGAATGTTATGTTGTTATATTTGAGAAAAATGCACTAAGGAGTTTTTTAGCATGTTATATTACAGTATTACATTTGGGAAAAGTACACTAAATAGTTTTTTTTTTTTTTTTTTTTACGTTATTACGTTTGAGAAAAGTATACAAATGAGTTTTTTAGTATGTTACATTAGAGTGTTGCGTTTAGAAAAAAAGTATATTAAGAATTTTTTTTTTAAATATTATATTGTTACGTTTGAAAAAAGTACACTAAAGAATTTGTTAGTGTGTTCCATTGGAGTGTTACATTTTTTGAGTGTCACATTAAAGTGTTACATTTAGAAGAAAAAAAAAATACACACACACACACATACACACACTAAGGAGTTTTTTTGAAGTATTACATTTAGTAATTTTAACATTATGAGAAAATTCACATTTGTCTCTCAACATATAATATACGTACGTTATGCTTGACTTTTTATGTAATTCACACTAGAATAAGACTTTTAGATCCATAAAAAAAATGGAGGACTAAATAGTTCATAAGATCACTATTTGAAATTTATTAGTGTTTCACCCTTAAAACTAATGCAGACAATGTGTAGATACTAAAATAAATAAATATAAATATAAATTTTTTTTGTTTATACGATTAACTAATTATTGATGAAAAAAAATAATTGTTATGTGAATTAAATTCTTAAGAAATACCAATATAATTATATTAAAAATATAAAACTAATTATATATATTTTAAATTTAATGTTAATGTAGTTTACCTTTTGGTAAAAAAAAATTTAAGTTAAAAATTGATAATTAAAAAATTAAACTAAAAACACCACTTTCCTAACTTGTAAATAATCAATTTTTTAAACTTATTTACATTATTTTTAGGGGATTTTTTTTTAAGGTCCCTGGTATTAAAATTTTATAGCATAAAGGACACTAAATATTTTCATAATATCTAAGGTCCCTCAATTTGATCCAGAGAAATTTCATCTAGAAAATTTCTCTGGACTTCCTAGAGAAATTTATCTCCAGAGAAATTCCCATCCAGAAAAATTTCATCCAGAGAATTTATCTAGACCTCTGAAAGAATTTCTCTCCAGAGAACTAGAATTTCTCTGGGAGGTTTCTCTATTTCTCTGACCTTCCAGAGAATTTCTCAGAGAAAATTTACACAATGGCCAAAATCCTAAAGAATTTCTCTGGATAGGAATTTTTTCCAGAGAAAATGAATGACGAATTTCTCTGGATCACTTTAAGTAAGAGAAATTCTCTCAAAATCAATGAAATTCCTAAAGAAACATTTCCAGAGAAATTCTCTTTAACCCAAAGAAAATTCAGTTCAAATCAAAAAAAAATTCAGTCCAAACCAAAGAATTTCTATGGACCAACTCGGAGAAAATTTAGTTCAAATCAGAATTTCTCTAGTCCAAACACACGCTATATATATACAACACATTTATATACATTCATACATATTTGAGTGGGTTAGCTAAGAAGCGGAACCAGGCCAGGAGCAGGACCCGTGTGGAACAGTGATAAAAGTACCGAGATTGAGCTTGTTGTTAAGGACTGAGTCAATGTCCCTAGGGAAGAACTCAGTGGAGGAGAATCGGCGGCGGTAGAGGGACTTAGCGTCGGAGGGAGCGAGTTTGAGGATGGCGACTTGATTACTGAGCCGAACACGGTTGGTGAAGACGGGGTGAACCAGGATTGATGAAGTACAGAACTTAGAGTCGCCGCATTTATCGGTGAAGAGCTTGACAGAAGGTTGGTTGCCATTTTCAGTAACGATGTACGAATACTCAGCGCCGGAATAGACCTCAGTGACACAAAGCCTTCATTTCGACGCTCTCGATCCACTGCAATTCCATTCTTCTGTCCTCGATTCACCGGAGTCAGCAACATGATGATCATGAGATCGAGATCGATGAGAGCGAACAGAGATCTCTCTGCGTGACGATCTCTTTGACGGCGAACTTGGCAATGACGATGGCCGGCGGCGGACTGGCTCCTCCGAATCAGTGTTGAACAACCCTCCGAATCGGTATTGAAACGGTTCATGGTTGATTGAATTAGAGAGAGAGAGGGAAAAAGAGAGAGAGATTACATCTAATGGTTGAAGTGAAAAGCTTAAAAATGTGTTCATGTGTGTAGAAAGAGAAAATGAGAGACTGGAATTTCTCTGAATATATGGATGTAGGATTAAGGGGCCTTAGACATCACAAAATAATATTGTGGATCTCTTCCATCGCCAAAAGTGGAAGAGGGAACTTATACTAATTTTTCCTTATTTTTAACTAATAATTATACCAAACAATATAACGCATATTTTCAAATTAAAATAAGATATAATTATCTTATGTAACAAACAGCCTATAATAACTAATGCTTTAGCTTAAGTGAGCCTGCACCAAACACTGCCTTATTCCATTTGAGGCCCTTTTTTTTTTTTTTTGTAAAGAAGGGCTCTGTGGTGTCATCATGATCCCGTTGGGCCCTAGCCCCAGGGTAGCCAGTTGCCAACTAGGAATTAACCCCCACCAAGTGAGGGACCCACCATTAGGGCACCAATGGAGGGCAACCACACGCCGCAACAGAGGACAGGGTTCGAGGGGAGTATGAGTGTGTTCTCAAGAGAGATTTCAAACGCCCCTCCCAAGAATCGACCCTGGCTCTCGGCTAGAGAATGTGTCGCATCCTCCACCAGGCCCTGTTTAAGAGGCGGGTTTAGAGCCCTTTTTTTTTTAAATTATTATTTTTTATTATTTAAGGTTAAAATCCATAACAAGACAAAATAATTTAAAATAGTCAATAAAATAAAATATCATATTAAATCTATAATTATTTTATTTTTTCTCTCATAAATATCACATCTAATTATAAAAAAAATCTAAATATATTTTCAAATATAAAAATTTTAATTTATTAAAATAACCAAAAATCAAAATAGACTATTAAAATAGCGAATCTGCCAAACGAGGCCTGTGTATAAGAGAGGAGGAAGCCCCAGTAGGAAGGCATTTTGCGTATCCATTGCGAATGCCATAGAGAGAGAGAGAGAGAGCGAGAGAGAGAGAGAGAGAGAGTATTGAAGAAAGTGAAAACCCTAGTGTCTACTGAGTAGTCTGAGTGAGAAAATGCCTCTGAAGATGTTGGACGCTACAATCTCCACCTTCGACGATGTGTTGGAGAAATTCAAATCGGATGCACCAAACAACAAAGCTAATCTCATTCTCTTCTTGGCTGACAAAGACCCTTCCACCTCTCTCAGCTGGTGTCCTGGTACTCACTCACATACGTACCCATATATATATACATAAAATTCCGTTTATTTTGATATTGTTTTTATTCTGTTTTTGTCAGAATTATAGCCATTGGTGACATACCCAAATTTGATTTATTATTGTATCCCTTTGTGTTGCCCAATCAAACCAATTGCCCTTTTATACCCCAAATCAGATATAAAATGGAATACTTCGCTACAGATTTTGCATTAATTAATGGGTGCTGCTTTATATTCTGTTTTGTGCCATTTCATTGGTTTTTTTTTTTTTCTTTTTGGCTTGTATTGCATTGTTTTAATGATGGGTTTAGTCTTTCCTGATGTCTTCCTTGTATGGGTCTTTCTATGTGTTCATATATGATTTATTTATTTATTTTTATTTTTTTTTGGGGGTATTTCTTAAACCACTTAATTTGTAGAATAGCACAAAGTGTCAAGGTAAGGTCTATTCTATCTTGAGAAAATTTCTGGTAATTCTTGCGAATCCAGTTCAGTTGGGAATTTGGAAATCTTTTGTGATGCATGTTAGGATATAATTGTTCTATTCTTGAAGCTACTTGGGAACAGTAATCGGGAATTTACTCATAATATATGTATATATGCAATGTTTGTGTATGGAGAAATGACTTGTGTTGTTTGTATATACATGTAAGAACTTCATTTAAGAGTCAAAATATGCTGTTGAATTATGTGCATATATATACATAAGAAATTCTGTTTTTAGGAAAAAAAGCAGAATTCAAACTCTCATGTAATGAGGAGACAATTTTGGAATGGGGAAGAAGTTTACACTGTTTGGATCATGAATTTAGACAAGGATTTGGGAAGGGAAAGGAAAATGGAGAAATTTTTAGATTGGATTTTGTTCACATTTGCCTCACCTTTTCCCTTTTTCCTTTTGAAATCCCTTTTTCCTTTCAATCGATGATGCCATTTTGGAAATATACCAGTTATCTTGCCCAGCAATTGCATGTATTCATACAAGTTTAATGTATGTCCATGCAAATTGTTTGTATTATTTGAAACTTTCCTTGTAGAGCTCAATTATGTGACTTCAAATACAAAAACATATTGAAAAATTTGATAGCCAAATCACGTAGTGTCAATTGGAATGAAGACTTTGAATTTGACGTTAATGTAAAAAACCTCTCTCCCTTACATAATAGGGTAGATTTAGAAGTGTCCATGCAACATTCATCCAGGCAAATAATTGATGTGTAATTTTAGCATGGGAAGCTTTATTGGGTAACAACAAAAGGAAAAGGAGTGAAAGAAAATTTCATTTGCATTTTCATTTATGGTGAAAAAAAAAATATTTTGCTCGTTAGAACATAGCATAGCCTTTTGTAAATGAACCTGTAATGAGGCAATTGGTTAGAATAGAAAATTTTATTTGCACTTTTTGCCTTGACAGTCAAGAAAATAAAGTTTGTTGTTTTAAATCCTACTCTTGAGTCAATACACTCTGTCCCATTTTGTTGGAAAAGCAGATCCTTATTAAATCATAAGCTCGTCTCTTTTTTGCTTGCAGATTGTGTGAGAGCCGAACCTGTAATTTACAAAAAGCTAGAAGCAGTGCCTGATGATGTGGCACTCCTGCAAGCTTATGTTGGTGATCGACCTACATGGAGGAATCCCCAGCATCCATGGCGGGTTGATTTAAGGTTCAAGCTCACAGGAGTTCCTACACTAATTCGATGGGAAGACGATGCCGTCAAAGGCCGCCTTGAAGACCATGAAGCCCACCTTGAACACAAAATTGACACCCTCGTAGCTAGAAAATAAGATATCGTTTATCTCAATAAAGATGGTTTGGATAAGCTATGTTTCATAGAATAATCTGCAACTAAACTCTACAGTTTTCATCTCTGTTGAACATTAATTAATGATGTTGCCCTTCTTGGCTGATGAAGTAAAAAATTTATCCTTATGATATGTGATTTTGCAACTTGAATCATTGATTGAAGTGAATCCTAATTTAGGTAAAACAATCTCTGTCAGCAGATTAAAATTTTTACAAGAATACAATTTTTTTTTTTTTTTAGGATTTTAAAATTATATTGTACTAGTTTATAATTGGCGCAGCATGACTGCTATTTTCCAGTAAAAGATGCTCCAAATAAGTGAAGTATTTTTTTACCAATTAGAAAACCTGCTTCAACCTTGAAATCTGATTTCTAAGAGTAATTGCAGCTACTACAGTTCCATGCATTCTTAAACTAGCAATGGATAATCACAAGCAATAGAGTATATTATCCTTTTAGGCTGTGTTTGGATTTTAAATCTGTGGGGGGGAATGAAAACTAAAGGATAAATGAAGTAGAAGTCAGCTATTTGGTTGTTTTTGTTTTCTGTTTTCATTTTATAATAAACACAAAAAACCACTACTTGAGCAAACCCTGGGGCAGCTCTGCACTTGTTAAAACAGAGGACATTCCAAACATTTAAACAATTTTCTTGTTGCAGTTAAAAGAAGAGAGAACAATTTTCTTGTCAGAATTTAGTTACTGCACATGTAACAATGCCACTTGCAATAGCCAAGCCAAGTAGGCAAATGTATTGCAGTTCTTAATAAGCTGAAAGCTGAGTGTTTAAAATTTGAGCATTCCTTCTTTGTGATCGTATCTTCTTGGCGATGACAAGCTTTTGGTATAAGAGCCATAGTAGCATAAACTTGTTTTATTAGAAGTTTCTTTATTATAATACCCTTTGGGCATGTTTGATTAGATAGATTAGAGCATAAAATTGAGATTATTAATTCGTGAGTTCAATTATCCTATGTTTGTTTTAATATTTTGATTTAAGATTATTAATCCAATGAATAATTAATCCGACAAATTTGTAAAATTATTAGTAATGGAATAAGAATGGAATTATTAATCCTATGAATAATTTATTCTATTAATCCAATTAGATAGTAAATACCACACTAATTTAATAAGATTATTAATACCTCACTATTAATCTTATAAATCAAACACAGCCTTTGTATCTTCTGGCTTTATAAGTGTATTCTCTATGATTGCCACTTTATGTATGACCAACATACCTCGAGACTTTGGAAAAAACTTTTTACCTTGATTTACAATTCTTATAAACAGCCTAGTGGATATGCAAACCTTTATAGCCTATCAAGGTGAAGAACAAATTTTGGTTTAATAGTAATTATTGACACTTTTAAGACACAAATTTTGTTATATTCACTCAATATTCATACTAAGACATTCGAGAGGGTTGGTGGAAGAAAGCTGAAAAGCCCTTTCTATCTTATTAGTAAGTGCTTATGAGCAAGAGAGGGCCCTATCTATAGTTTGAGTGTTGGCACTTAGTTTAATTGCTGCTAGCCCACTCCCTTTCTCACAGTCAAGTTTCTCGTTTGTTAGTTCAAGCTCTGAAGCCCTACCTTTATTTATGGGATATTTGACGAACTGCAGGTTTGGAACCCTATAGAAGAGCCTGGTCTCCATCTCGCTAAGATGAAGAGCTGAGATATTTGTGACTGGAGAGTAGACCCAAAAAACAGCCAATAGTCCTCTTAAGTGAATGCAAAGTAATACGGTATTAAAAGCCGAAAGCAAAAACTATATATACGAGGATAAATAAATCTGACTGCTTTTACATTATCCAGCCACTTTGGCTACCACTTAAGTAAAAGTGGAGAAAAAAACACAGTAATTTACAAAAAGAGAGTTGTGGATGAAAAAGCTGTGGATTACAATAATTAGGCATCACCTATAACAACAGCCAGAAAGAAGAAACAAGGAGGGCTCTGCATCTTTATAAGATTATCAAAATTGTGTTAGTCCTGCTGTACACAACTGCAATTCACAAGTCGAAACTACAATCAGAATTGGTAAAAAAACTGGATGGTTATATTTTGTAGTTTCCATGAGCATGCAGACTCGCCACACCACAGATATACACTACTTATACTTTACAGCAACAACCAAAATCTATACATGTTATAGTGTGAGAATTTAAACTGAAAGGCATTAACGGAACTTGTTAACAGTGTATATGACAATAGGAAAAGCAATCATTGCTATTCAATTTGCCATAAGCAAATTAGCTTTCTTACCTATTTGCATGAAGGCATGTGGAGGACATTTAACTTCAAAGCTGGTCCTTGAATAGTTTAGGCGTCAACTTCAAAGTAATATCACCATAAGGCTCTGCTTGTTGTACATCTACAAGTCCACAACATTTTAAAACCTACCAAAGATGCCAGACATTTTACCCTTTTAGTCAATTTTTATCAATTAGCACCACAAATCTCAAATGCTTGTGAAATAACTGATAGTCTGCTAAAAGAAACAAGACTCAAAATGTACAATTTTACTAAATCGTGATTCTCAATTTATCTATTCACCCTTTTATAAACTACGATTAGGGATTAGCTCAGTAATGGTGCAACTTGATGAAATCAATTGATTTTTACAACCATAGAGAGACGAATGATAGCTTTCTTTGTTGTTGGGAGCTATTTCACCCCACCAACACATACAAGGACAATTCAGACTCTTCGGCGTGAAAATTGTTCTCATACCAATAACCACCATCAAAAGGCAAATAGGTGAAGCATGTATGCAACATTGTTATATTGCAAGGCTGACATGAGTACAATACTTGGATCAGAATGAACTAGTGTAGATATACATCATAGTTCATGCTGATTAAAACATTTAATGTAGTGTTTGGGTAATTGGAATGGAATAGAATGATCATTCTTTATCCACCTTATGGAATGACTATTCCCTTACAATGGTGAATGATTATTTCATTTGTCATACAAATTTCATCATATTTGTGTTACTTTTTTAGGTTGTGTTTGGATCATGGATTTGGAAAGGGAAAGAAAAAGGTGAGGGAAATGTTAATGAAATATAAGGTAATTTTTTTCTTCATTTCCTTGTAAATTTCTTTCCTTTCCAAATCCCTACTAAAATCCATGATCCAAACACAGCCTTGGGAAACCAAATGTGTGAATTGACGTTATAATAGAATGATCATTTCATTCCATTTTATTTCAATAAACCAAATATTTTTTCAAATCACTTTTAATCTTTTTTAAATACCCACTTTTATTATATAATCAACATATCCATCATTCTTTTCCCCACTCAAATATCTTATACTAGCCTTCATTGATTCCACTGGATTCCAACACTTCATTTTAATCTTATTCTTATTATTATTTTCAAAAAAAAAAAAAAACACACTAATAAACTGCACAGTTGGATGGAAGGTTCAGGAGCTCACCAGAGTCTCATAGAACATTCGAGCACATACTTTTCTGATTTTTCCTTCTACGAGCTTGTTCAAGATTAGATCCCCAGATATGTCTTCTGAGATGGGGGTAACTGAAGACTTTCCTTTTAAATATTGAGCCACTTTCCTGTAAGTAAGTCACACAAATGGGATATCTTGCGAGAAGCTGCTTAAAACAGTGAAGCTCATTTAGTACTAATGGGATATCTTGCAAGAAGCTACCTTGTTGTCCCCGACAATACGTCAACTCCTTGAGTTGTTTGGATTTCTGTTAAAAGCATGAATAGGTCATACAAAGATTCGATACCAAACGTAAATAACAGTGGAATGTCTACTATCATTTGTGTCTTGTCACAAAATCATTCATATTGATAATCAAAAAAATCTACAAAAGGTTTCTTCACTTACTGGTTGGCGTATAATCTTCAGAGGCTAAAAAACTTAGGTCCTGCAATGAAATGAGACAGTGAGTGAGATGCAACCTCCAATAAGTGCTCTCAACTCAATCATTCAAAAGATGAGGTTTTAAGTGAAGCCATGTGTACAAATACATGTGCATAAAAGAATTTAATGCATTGCATCATTTCATGCACAATGAAATCAACTAAATGTGAGGATCATTATCAAACAGTTTAACAATATCACTTATGTAGAGTCTACACTTTTTAATTGAACTACAAGTTCCAACTTATTGTGTTGAATCTTAAATGAAACTCGCTCCAAAAGGTTTAGAGTGAATATGTGTACATGTGCATAAAAGAAAAGTCAAAAGTTACAATAGTGGCAATTCTTTATATGACATTCATTAAGTAAATTGATGGTTATATAACACATAAGCAACAAAACAGGACCATAAAGTATATGGCATGTGGTTCATGTATATGTCACATTTGTAGGCACAAGCCTCAAGTTGATCCCTGCTGAATTGTTTTCTTTAAGTAATGCCCTGAGAGGTCATCAAGAAGCATCTACCATATTTCAAAACCACACAATGAACCTATTGTTAATGATATTCCAAAGTCAAAAACTATTTACAAGAAAGGAAAACATGATGGATCATTAAAGACAAAACACATATACCTCCGACAATAATAACCACTCAAGGCACATAAATGATTTAAACATAATGAACTTACATCTGCTTCTGCTGAATTCATCACCTCAGGAATATCTGAAAGACCAGTGTTTTCAAATCCTAGACACTCCCCTAAAAATGTCATCGGTGTTTCCGACTCAGACCCAAGAGTTCCAGTAGATGCTGCCAAGTCCGGAGTGGGTTGTACTCCAGTCCCAACAGTTGTTCCCAGTTGAGGTTCTGATTGTGAGCCTAAATTGCCGGCTGAAGCAGGAGTGAGGTCATCTCTTCTATATGGAGAAGACGTGAATCTGGTCTCAGAAGCCATGAATCTATTAGGAGAACCCATGATTTCAGGTAAAATGTTACTACAATCGGGGCCTTCATAATTTCGAAGGCATTCAATTTCTGTATCAAGGTCATGCATGGGAGGAGACTCTGCAACAATAGGCTCTGGACAAGCTTCTTCCATGTTAACCAAATGAGGTTTCACAGTAATGAAATCCCTTGTATAAACGTTACATAGATCTGCGCACAACCCTGCAGATATATGGGCACCCATTCTCTCATAAAATCAATTCCTTCGATCAAGAGGCAAAAGCAATTGAGGCATAACAGTAAATGAAGAGACCCACTCACCAGTCATTAGTGGCTCAAGAAAGATTTTTTCTTTTCTTAATCTATTATTTGACTTCCAAACATCCAAAGCAGAAGAAGGGCAACATTTCCTCTTCCGCAGTAGGTCACTACAATTATCAAGTGCTGCCTTCATAAACCTGACATATCCATATCCTTGTTGAAAAACAGTTTTTTAAAAGTATTACAATAATAAATAATATAAAAAAAACCCCAAATGAACAGCCTCAAAATTCATACTTATTAGTCAATACTGTGGACTCATCATAGAGCTGCTTTCTCTTTCTTGGTCTAGCTTTTGGCTGGCCAACAGGTGGCGTTGAACGCATTGCCAGTTCAGGCGATGCATGCCCTGCCACACAAGAAAGAAAGTATACCCAAATATAAGGCAAGTTCAATTTTAGGCTGCATCCAATAATGAGAAATTCACACCTACCAAATGAAACATGTGAATCAAAAACGTCAGGAGCTTTGTCTGAAGAAGCAGAACTAACTGGTTCTCCATGTTGCTGAGATGGGAGAGACTGCCCTCCAGAGACTAATATTTCTTCCGCAGCTGGTGGAAGGATTTCCTTCTCATTTATGATTTGCTGCTCCAAAAGCCTGTCCGGTTCAAGTACATCATTCCCTTGATCTGGCCAAGGTGAAATGTTATCCGCATGAAAATCATGGGCGGCATCACGCATAACTTCAATTTCTGGGACATTTTGAGGAAAACTATCTTCATTGAGCATTTCAGTCTCTTCTGGACCAGGATCTTGAAAACCTACAGTTGGGTCCACTGGAAGTGAAGGACGAGGACTGCAATTAACAAAAGAAAGGAACTCATTAATTCATCAAGAGACAGGAAAAAGAATGAGACTTTTATTTCCTTTTATCAAAAACATACTCTTCCTTCATTGGACTGGCTCCTGATACAGAAGCATCTTTCAAACCAATTGAATCCCTCAAAATGCCCTACAACAACAGACATCTTTGTTATGTGATACTGCAACTCAGATACCTCCCAATTCAAAAATTAAATGACTCAGGTAATCAAGTTACCTCATCAAAAGTAATGGCAATGTACGGATCTCTTCCAATTGGAATTTGATCTACAATATGATAATTCCAGTTCAATCATTTACCATTTGAACTATCAAATCAAAATATGAATACTCGGAAGCACATGTAATGCTACCACCATTAAGTGTTATTGAACTGAGAAATCATAAACTAGAGTGCAATAATTTACAAAATATGAATTCAAAAGTGAAATACTACCACAAGTAAGTGTTATCTCCTCCTCGCTCCGGAGATGATTATCTTGAGCCCTGAGAATTAAAAAGCGAGTGTTATCCATAGATTCAAAGAAAGGCACAAGTGCATAGGTTGCCAGAAAATTACCCGTCATAAGAGAAGTCATCATCCAAATTCAAGGCATCAAGTTTGAACGTGTTTGGCAAAGTGACAGAGTCAAAAGGTGCATGAGTTGCATCTTCTGGTAGATTAACTTCTACAGGAGCAAATGCTTTTCTTATGGTTATCAGAAAAAAATTGTAGTCTTGGTACAGATAGTCGACTTTCTTTGAATATATCCGAACAACACCCAGTAGAAGATGACCTGACATTCTTAGTGCAATGGGAACTTCGGGATACATGATGCGCTCTAGAAGAAACATTCAGGGGGGAAAAAACAATTATCAAACAAGGCCATTTCACGCCATTGATGTATGATTTTATGCAAGCTAAACACATAGGTTTAGAGGAAGAATGAGAACAGAACTAGAGTACATTAAGAAAATAAGCAGCAGATTGCTAGTCAAATGATGAAGCAATAAAAGAATTATATGTAATTTTTCAACATTGAAGAGGATAAGGATCTTCACCAGCATACCCAAAAAACATTAAAAATAAAATAAAATAAAAAGAAAGAAAGATAAAGAATCCCCCTTGGTTTCAAGTGCTATGCAAGTAGATAGGAAGTTCAACTTGCTGCATCCCACCACTAGACTCTCATGTTCAACTAATCAGAAGTAAATACTCATTTATTCACACAAATATAGATATTTTGCAAATAGTGAATCACAAAGATAGGAGCATAAATCAGGAAGTGTTGGGAGAGTAACTGAAAATGAACAAAGGATTCTAGTTGCCATTAGAAGAACTTCGAACAACAAGGATGACTCTTCTACCTTATTAAAGTGATCCTAATTCAACCATATAAATTTACCATAAGATGAAGCTCTCTTTAACATCCCCTATCACAACTTGATGGTATGACAACCAAAATGCTTCGTAAAACATAAAAAATAGTCATGGCATCCCCATCATCTAACCACACTAAACTCACCCCAATTCAAGCATGTAGATTTACCAACTAACCAAGTTCTCTTATTAACATCTCCCTCTCTTGACTTCATGCTACAGCAAACATGCAGGCATGAAGATGAAAGCTCACATGCATATGCACCAACTGAAATTATAATAAATAAATATGGACCGATTAACCTCACAAAAAATCCCAAATTCACAAATGTAAGGGATTATTAGCTATCAACTTTTGGCAAGATTGACCTACTATGCATCTAAGAATCAAAAAGTGTACCATCAATTGAAATTCACCTAGCTTTAACATACAATGAAACTCTTCTTTGTTGGACCAATCGTTTGATGCAAGTTAACAGTGGCTCTTGAAATTTTTTGGATTAATTGCACTGAACTCCCCTGAGGTATGGATCAAAAATAAATAGCTCCATAATTTTAGCATAATTCGTTGGTTACATGGATAAAAATAAAAAATAAAAAATAAAATGATTCTGTCATCTATTTTATAGTGAAATGAATATTTTTTCTTATTTATGCACATGTCTTCGCGCTATTTGTATTAGTTTTGGTCCCTTCAGCCTTACTAAAAGAGAGGCCAATGTAATTATGTCAAAACTGCGAGACTAGTTGTACTTTCTCTCCAAACCTAATGGGAAATCAGTGTAATTTTCCCCAAAAAAAATAAAAATAAAAATTTACTGGGGTCAATATAGCACTAAAAAACTCTAGAAAGAAAATTTGTCACTCTTATGTCATCTGAGTTAAACAAAACACTTACCAATTGTTTGGTTTCATAAACATGGAGTCACAGAATATGATTGGGTGTTTTTTTTCATTAAATTTCAAAACCTATTGATAAAAAATTATGAAGAATTCACATCAAACCCAAGTCATATTTGACAATATGGTTCTCCATGAACAATCAACAAAGTCTAATAGACGCCATAAATCAAAAAAAAAAAAAAATGAATTAAAATTGGAGAAAAGGAAGAGGGATTAACTAGAAAAGGAAACGAACCAACAGTGGAAGAGATGTCAGTGGAGGTGTAGTGAGATTTCTTCAATCTGTGCTGCAAATGAGCCGCACACCACACCGTTCCAAGCGGCCCTTTCCGAGCCAAAAACGTATGCGAGTAAAACATCTCCTTCCTTCTTCTTCTTCTTCCTCAAGGCTTTACAGATCTCTATCTATCTCTCCCTATATCATCGGGAAAAAAAGAGTTGGTTGTTGAAAATGTTAGTATCAAAGCCATCTGTGTAATTTTTGCTTGGAATTACTTCGCCCAAAATAAGCCTTCCCGCCCAAAATACACTTCCCGCCAAGGCTGCTTCCTAAAAACTAGAACCTGGTCCCTCAGATTTTGGAGAAAAAATATAGGCTCCTAAATATAAGCCCAATCTTAAGCTAAACATTCAGGCCCAATCAAAGAGCAAAATAAATTTGGGGCACTTACCGAGAAGTAACATACATAAAGTTCAAACCTATTTAATTTAAAAACAAAATATTTACGCCAGGTAATTTTACCTATTTTTAATTATTATTAAAAAATCTTTTCTTTTTTTTTTTATAAATTTAAAAACGTTGTTATATCCCATCATCGTCAGACTTCCGTCAGACAGTCATCAGAGATTCGCCGGAATGTTCAACATTACCAGGAAGTTGTCGGAGTATCACCGGAGTGTTCTGAACGTCACTGGAAGTTGTCAAAATGTCTACAATGTTCGCTGGATGTCAAAAACATTGTCGGAGACTCACTTGAATTTCCAGAATATTGCTGGGAAAAAAAATAAATGGACAAATTATAGTAAAAAAAACATAACAAAATGTGTTAAATATTGATAAAATGAAAAGGAAAAATAAATAAATAAATAAACAGCAATGGGAAAAAAATATACATTATTTTCCAATTTTTGTATGGTTTCAGTAAATAATCTCTAATGTTGATCAAATTAAAAAGCAGGCTTTGAAATTGTAAAATGTTATTATTTCAAAGCATGAATCTATTGAGCATTTATCGTTATTAATCAAACTAGAAAACATGTTATGAAATTGTAAAATTTTATAATTTTAAAGTATGATTCATTTTAGCACTAAAAAAAATTAAAAATGTAAAATTTTACAATTTTCACCACCTATAACTAAAATTCGAAAACAACTTGTTTAGAATTTGAAAATTTTTTCTATTCGAATGAGAGAAACAGATATAGAGAGAAGATTGTGCTCCGGTAACTATTTTTTATTTAGATCTAATCGGATCTAATGTAGATCTACTCAAATCTTCTTTGTCGGAAACTTGTCTTCTTCATCGTTGGTAAAAGTGAAGTAAGGAGTCAGTAGTTGCCGGTGAACCCCAATCAATAATAGTCATCGGTCGCCAGTGACTATATATTAGAAAGAGAAAGAGAAAGTAAAGAAGCAAGGTATGATCGTCGATCGCCGAAAATCATAAAGAAAAAGATGTTGAAAAGAACGAATGCATAGAGAAGAATGTAGAAGAAAAACATAGTAGACTTTTGAGAGTATCCAAAAGATTGTGGGACTAAATAGACTTCTCCTCTTTTAAATAGGACTCTCAAATAATTTGCCCAATAAATTTAAAGGTAAATTACATATACGTCTTCTCAGATTTGCTTAAAATACAAAAGGTGCATTTGGTTAAATTTTTAAATGAAGTTTTCAAAACTCAACACCTAAAACCAGTTTGGTTTAGGATTTTCACAAAATTGATTTTGTTTGGTTTTCAAGTATTGGCCAAATAATTTTTTATATTTTAGATGTATATCATCTACTTAGACTTAAATAGTAAAACAAAATGTGAAGAATTCAAAAATAAATTTAATAAATATATAAAACATTAAAATTGTATTAATTTTTAAACTGGGTCGATTTTTTTCTTTTTTCTTTTTTGGTGTGTATATTTCTCATTATTCAATAATTTTATAAAATGTTACATTTAAATGTGAAATGTTTTAACTGCCAGTAGATTGAGTTGATATAAAACTAGAAAAGAAATGTTAAAATTTTTAAAACATTCATAAAAAATAAAAAATACGGAGTGAAACTTTGCCCTATAGATTAGATTAGATGCATTGAAAAAGTAAATTTAGATTAGGTATATGAAAGAAGTACACAAATTTCACTATAATATTGCAAAAAAAGTTTTGATTACAAAACAAAAAAACACAAGACCTAAAAAAAATTCAAAAACTAGTTTTGAAAGCTCATAACCAAACAAGTTTTGAATTTTCAAATTTTTAAAAACTATTTTCAAAATAAACAACAAAAAAAAAATGCTTCGAAAACTCATAACCAAACATATTTTGAATTTTTAAAATTCTTTTCACAAAATTCTTTTTCAAAACTTATCAGAATTTTGAAAATTATGAATAATCCCTTCTCTGAATTTTTTATTTAACAGAATTATCTTTCAAAACCTACCAGAATTTTTAAAATTATGGATAATCCCTTATCTGATTTTTTTATTTAACAGAATTAATAGAAAAAGTAAAATCTTAAACATTCTCTTTGTAAACTTAAAAAAACCACCAAAACATGCAGCGGATAAAATAATCAGATCATACCTTCTTGATGATAGAACCTTCTTGGATAAATCACGTACTTCCAGAAAACTGATAAATCAACCCAGCAGTGGAGTGATATCACAGATTGAATATCACCCACATAAAATCACAGTGCAAAGACTTGATCGTTGTGTTTTTGGGAGAGAGTCAGTATATGGGTAGAAACAGACTATACGTTTTTTCTCACTTGATTACCCATAACCATATATCAGATATATAATATATTATTATATCTATCCATATCAGTTAAAACTGATAATATCTAATATATTATTATATCTATCCATATCAGTTAAAACTGATAATATCTGTATCTTGAGTGGTTATCCTAAATAGGTTTGAATTCAAATTCAAAACCTATTTGGATAAGGATTCAAATTCAAATTTAATGGTCATGCCACATGGGCGCCCATTACTAACACTCTTATACAACAATAAAAGTAATGGAATTATTAATTGAAAACAGTTAATTGAGTAGATGATTTATTGATAAAAATGATTAAGGATGGACCCAAAGGGGGGCAAGACGGGGCGATCGCCCCCTACGATTTCAAAAAAACCATTTTATTATCGTAATATTAGCTACAATTATTTACATATTGTAGAAATTCGTCCCCTCTAAGTTTTTATTTTTTTTAGAAAATTTTAAATGGTTGTTACTCTATATATATGAAACATAGGATCAAAATATAATATTAAAAAAATAGACAAAAATAACAACAAAAAAAATAATTATAACTACTATTAATTACAAGTCCAAGATTCAAAAGAATCGAATAAGGTATTAACTAATTCCTTAATCAAGTTTATTGAGAAAGGTATTGTACGAGATTTTAATATCAATTCTGTTATAAACATTTTTAGTGACATAAACTAGTGTCGAGTACGATAATTCAAGATGGCTCACTTTAATATATATATATATATATATAATTTTATAGTAGCTATTTTTTGTAACTACGTCTAAAAAAACATGCTACTTGTATATTTTCATCTTGTTTTACTTTTTATGCTAGTAGAAATTATAACGATTCTAGTTTAGACCCGATCCATTTCTTACTTTTGGATCTGAGAACAAATGTACTTAGCTGTTGTTCATCTCATTTCCATCTCGTTGCTCATTGAGTTTAGTTATTGACAGTTTTGGTTGTGTTTGAAACAAGTTGGGAAGTTAGTTTTTTAAGTAGTTGTTGCCCAGAATTTTGCTTGTTCGCTCGAGTGACCATTCTTGCGCTCGAGCAGTCTTTTACAGTCTGCAAAACTACTGGGAGTTTGATATCTTCGCTCAAGCGGTATTTCTTGCGCTCGAGCGATCTTTTGTAGGTCTGAACTTCTAGGAGGGGGTCATTGTTCGCTCGAGCGGTGTCACTTATTGTGTCTATTGCTCGAACGACCATTCTTACGCTCGAGCGGTCTATGCATATATCAATCCGAGAGAAGGCTATTTTTGGTCACTTTTTTCACTTCTCTCTCTCTAAACATTTCAAAAATCTAGATCTTCTCTCTCTCTCTCTCTCTCTCTCCTTTAGTTCTTTCTTCTAGCTCCTAATACTCTCAATCCATTGGTTTCCTAACCCTCGCCCTTTGGAGTAAAAGATAGAGCATGTCGAGGGTTTCGTTCTAATCGAAGAAGTTAGTGTTTTCGGCTCCGTCAAGTTCTATCCCTTGTTTCCTTTTGTCTTTTACTTTAAGGGAGGGATTTCTTTGATTCTTTTATATGATTTTTGGCTTAGTTATTTGTTCTTTGAAAAAGGTTGATGATTTGGGAATTTTCAGGAAAATCTAGGGTTTAAATTGAAATCAAAAGAGAGGTTTTCCAAATGGGTTCTTGAAAATGACTGTAGGGATATGGTTATGGGTGAATTATGTCAAAATGATAGATAACTTTTCTTAAAATTGGTTTTGTAAAAAAAGAAAGTTTTGCCCTAAATTTTGGATACTTGTGAAAGGAAATGAAAAAATGATGTTGGGTTTTGTGAAATTGGAACAATATTTATGTTGATGATGATGGTGGAGTTGGATATGTAATATCACTCCCATTGTAAACGATGAAATTATATCTTTTGATTGAAAACTATTTGTTGAATAGAAATATCTGTTTTGGGTGATCAGTGGAGAATAGTCTTGATTGTTGTAGACATTGCATGATGATTAGGTTAAATTGAAACTAATTTCTCATACATTGTGCATTGAGCATCATTTCTTGATAAACAATGTAAATGTATTGATTTTGAGAAAAATGGGTAAATACCTTGATGAATTTGGTTAGGTGGTGTGGTTGTGATTATGATGTTGACATGTGTGTCCTTAGTGAAAGTCCATAAACTCGAGCGATTATGTGTCGATCCTTTCAATTAGTATTGGTAAAATGGCTTTGGTAGTGCTTGTATAGCCTACTGGCAGACACATACCTAGACATTCCGAGTGTTTTATATCCGCTACCCTATTTTCTATGTAAAGGATTATTTTTCATGAATTGATTTATAATCTGGCATTGCATTGTTTTGAGATGGAAAACGAGGAATGTTTGACAAATCACATGCATATGCATTCACCTTATAACTTTGCTAAGATTTATATGCTATGTTAGAGTATCTCTACTGGGTTTTGACTCACTTAATGTGGAAAACAACTTTTCGGTGCTAATAATATGCCTCCACCAAAGACGTAGCTTGGGAGGACTTGGAGCAAAGGGCTTCATTTCGTTATTTTGCTGTAATTAATTTTGTATAATCCTTGAGCTTTAATTGTATTGAGTTGAACTCATTTTGTTGTACCCAAGTTTCGACTTGGAAAGTTGTAACCCTTAGAGCATGCAATTATTTAGTTTTACTTTTATTTTAAATCATGTATGCAAGTCATATGCTATAGATTCAGGATTTATGATTTATGAATGTATATCGCATATGCTATCTTTTGTAATGATTAAAGATATAATGAATAGAAGATATGATATTATTGGTCAATTGTGGCAATGTTATGAGATGGGTTAATACTATTTATTTCGGGACGTTATAAAAATTGATATTATAATTCATATTTTTCTTTTCAAAATTTTGTTGGTATATATATATTCACCCTCTTCTATGAAAATCATGGATCCATTCCTGAAAATGATGGCGCTGTTTGGGAAGAGGAATTGGAGGCTATTATAGCCTCAATTGAGAAAATAGCCCAAAAGCCCTACTATTCACCTTTCTTTATTAAAAAAAAAAAAACAGCCTCTGCTGCCGTGACAGTGTAGGGCCAGCCTATACTGTCAAAGTGTCAAACATACACATCACTTGGGAAATTACTTATTTGCCCCTTCACATCAATTTAAAAAATTATAATTTTAGGGACAAAATTGTCATTTAACTTCAAACATCATTTCATCACATTTTTCAATACAACAACTCAAATAAAAATCCATCTCATCTTCCCAAACACAAAAACTAAAATAGCCTATTAAAATAATCAAAAAGCCTCTAAAATAGCCATTTCCCAAAGGAGGCCGATAATTTATTATGTAATTAGAAACTTAAAGGAACAAGATTTAATTTTCAAAATTACAAAAAATAATCTATATTTTAAACAAATCTCAATAAGTATATCTGTAATTTATCCTAAATTTAAAGACCCAAATGATACCTTGGGTTTTACATGTTCAAAAAATGTTTGAGTCCACTAACGTATTAAATTGTATAAAACGTTTGGTCTAAAAAAAAAAAAAAGAAGCAAGAGAGAATATTTTTTTTTATGAACGGTGTACCATAGGGCTCCAATTATAATTTTTGTAGCATTTGGTTATAATTATTGTGGAGTTAATTGTGATTTGATTATGACTTATTGTATTGTTGATTATAGCTTAATTATGACCGTAGTTATTATTTTTGTTGTAACTGAAATAGTTTTTTATTATATTTCAAGTGGTGTTTGTTTATGATCCTTGGACCTTAATTATAACACATTTTAGTATTGATTATAACTTAGTTGTGTCATATTATAGTTGTAATTTTAATTATGAAACCTTTGGTATGCCTCAAAAGTATTTGGTTACGATCCATTAATTTAATTATGACAACCTGTATATGATACACCTTTTTTTTTAAAAGATATGTATTGTAGCATTATCCATTAATATAATAACATTAAATTTTATCATAGAATGATAATTAAATTACACTACAATAAACTTTACGTTTTTGACATAATGACACCGATAACATTTTTAGTGAGTAACCAAAAATAATGCTTGGCCTATTTTAGGAATAAAGTTAAAAGTCAGTTCATTAACTACTTAACTTTTTAAAGTTAAATCGTCACTTTATTTTATTGCACATTTTTCAAAAAAATAAAAAATAAAAAATCAACTTTCAATCGCTTTCCCAAAATAATAAACACATGTAGATCAACAAAGGTAAATATTCAGAAGCTTTGACAGCATGTTTTCAAGCATTAATGTCTGAAGTAACAGTATGTTTTCAAGCTTTGCAATGGTGTGTCCAACAACATGTTAAGGCTATCTCCATCCTTACGGACTGCCAAGTGCTTTTTCAGAAACTTCGAAAGATCGACACGAGGGATTGGGAGACAATGCATATGTTATTAGATATTAGGGCTCTTTGTAACAAGTTTGATTATGTATGTATTTCTAAGGCTCCTAGGAAGGCAGTGGAAACAGCACATGCAGCTGCTAAGATTGCCTCCCAGAGCTAACCACTACTGGTTGTATTATGTTCCATGTTCTATTATATGTCAATGTTTTCTCAAAAAAAAAAAAAAAAAGGGTAAAAATTCATTTCAATAAGTTATGTCAACATATCTTTTTATTTTATTTTTCAGAAAAATCTTTTTGACTAACGAGTCTCTCATAAAAAATTGACTAGAGTGTTACATAAATGTGCTATACTTATGGAGTTTTGAGGTATTTTTTCCAAAATCCCTTGAATTAATCCTTGAGGTATGAAAATATCATATGAACTGATGCATCCACTCATTACCTTGGGCAAATAATCGTCTACTCTATAAGGCCAAGTTTTTCCTCTTTGTGAGGAAGTCCCTCCAGGTTGTCAATCTTAATGGATTTCGGGATTATGAGCTCAGTCCTCCGTGACCCATTCTTGCTCTTCTCTACAAAGAATTGGTTTGAGGGGATTTGATCCGTCTGACCTGGCTCTTCAATCAACGATCTACTGCTCCCTCTTAGTTGCAGATGCCCATGCTTTGATGTGAAGCTTATACATAAGATCAAGTTCACTCAGAGCAACAAGTAAGAAGATTGAAAAAGGTAAATTGAACTTCACTGCACAATTTTCTTTATAGTTCAGTGCACATAATCTCTCAAAAACTGTCAAGTGTCTAGGGCAAATAATAAGAGATCCTTACAAAAACATGAAGCTTGAGAGATCAAAACTACGTAAGAAGTACAATGCAAGAACTCAACTACTTTAAACTTTTTCAATGAACTTCATCATTGTAACCAAAGAAACAGAAAGCTCCGAACAAAACAATCATCAACACTTGGCTGTTCCTTTTCTTTTTTTCCTTCTTTTTGGTAACAGTTTGATGTTCTCTAAATATTGTAATTCTTGTTCCCTGACTCTACAAAAAGAACATCCAATTCTCAATCCAACAGTTACAGTGCAAACCATTCTCCCCAACCCAAGTTCTCCCACCTATGCTATGCCACATTAATACCAAGTTTCTGCTAATTAAGCCTTGTTTACACGAATTTTCTGCCCTTCAAGCAACTGCCAAAAAAAAAAAAGAAAAAAAAGAAGAAGAGATAATTGGGATGTTAATACAATCATTTACAAAAAATAATTAAAAAATGAAAATGATCTATTATTTTTTCCTTCTATTTATTGTATGCATACATCCAATGGAAGTACCCATCATGAAACCACTTATCAGAAGCACACGGGCCTGTGGTTGTGTGGTTACAAAAGACCAAGTTTTCATAACAAAAAGAGTAGCAAACTTACAGCATTGTTTACGGATGAGATTACAGCTTCGACAGCCTCTTCTGAAGAAAATGTTACAAACCCAAAACCACTAGATTTTGAGGTCCCTGGAACTCGGGATACCTTTGCACTAAGAACCTTCCCTTTCTCAGCAAAGAAGTTTTTGAGCATCTCTGTAGTTACTGTTTTTGCAAGATTGCCGACATAAACTTTGTGGGGGCTGTCAATGAATTCAGATTCTTCAGGTGTGATTCATGATGAGCCTGGGATGATTAAACAGGCAGTGGCAAGTCATTTCAATTACCTTTTCACTGAAGATTGGAAGAGTAGACCAAAGTTATCAGGTCTTTTTAACTCAGTCAGTACAACTGATTCATCTGAGGTGTTAGAGGCAGAATTTTTGGAGGATGAAATCTGGGAAGCAATTAAAGATTGTAAGGGGAATAAAGCTCTGGGGCCGGATGGTTTTAATCTAAAATGTATTCAAAAGTGTTGGGCCATCATGAAAGGTGAGTTTGTGCAATTGATGAAGGAGTTTCATGCTAACGGGAAGTTAGCTAAAGGAATAAATAGCTCATTCATTACTTTGATTCCTAAGAAGGAAAACCCTGTGGGGTTGGGAGATTATAGGCCCATAAGTTTGATTAGCTCCATATACAAAATTGTCGCTAAAATCTTGTCAAAAAGGCTTAGGAGAGTGATGCCCAACATTATTAGTGAAGTGCAAACTGCCTTTTTGAGAGGTAGACATATTATAGATGGGGTTCTGATTGCCAATGAAGTGGTGGATTGGTGGAAAAGGTCGAAGAAGTAAGGGCTCATCCTAAAGTTAGATTTTGAAAAAGCATATGACTCCGTAAATTGGGAGTTCTTGTACTCGATGATGAAAAATTTCGGGTTTGGAGAGAAATGGGTGGGGTGGATAAAGACCTGCATATCCACAACTCGAATTTCAGTGCTAGTTAATGGGTCACCTACTTCTGAGTTTTCCCCCATGAAAGGCCTTAGGCAAGGAGATCCGCTTTCTCCGTTCCTTTTTAATATTGTAGCGGAGGGTTTGAACATTCTTTTAGAAAGAGCTAAGGAAGCGGGATTGATAAGAGGAGTGTCTGCAGGTCCAACTGAGTTGAAAATTACACATTTGCAGTTTGCCGATGACACCATCATTTTTTGTGAAGCTGAGTGGGAGGAAGTTGTAGTCGTGAAAAGAATTCTAAGGTGCTTTGAGGTGATGTCTGGGCTCAAAATAAATTTCCACAAAAGCAAGGTGTGTGGGGTAGGCGTTCAGGATGATATTGTCCAGGTCTTCGTAAAGAAACTAAATTGCCTAAGTCAAAAGTTGCCAATGAGTTATCTGGGGTTGCCATTAGGAACAAACCCAAGGAGAAAGGCTGCTTGGAAACCTGTAATAGACAAGTTTAAGAGCAAGTTAGCTTCTTGGAAGAGGAGGTATCTATCGTTCGCTGGGAGATTAACGTTAATCAAGTCCGTTTTGTCAAGCTTGCCAGTTTATTTCTTATCCATCTTCAAGTTGCCGGTGGGCATTGCAAAAGTACTCCACAAAATTCAAGCTAACTTTCTTTGGGGAGGGTCGGAAACTAGGAGGAAACTGCACCTAATTAGCTGGAAAGAGATATGTGTAAACAAAAACAAGGGTGGGCTAGGGGTAAGAAACCTAAGCCAGGTTAATGAGTGTCTGCTAGTTAAATGGTGGTGGAGGTATGGAAATGAGGAGGCAGCCTTGTGGAAAAAAGTGATTTGTAGTAAGTATGGCGGTGTAGGTGGCAGGTGGTGCCCCTTATTCATTAGTCCAGTGGGACTGTCGTATACGTGGAGAGGCATAACATCAGTGGCTGAAGTTAACACTGCTCTGCGAGAATTTTTTTGGCAAAATTTTAGGCTAGTTGTTGGAAACGGCAGAAGGATACATTTTTGGTTTGATAAGTGGTGCCACAATCAAAATCTGAGTGTGTCTTTTCCCAGATTATTCTCATTATCAGTTGAAAAAGATGGAAAGCTGGTTGATTTTGTACATAGAAGAGTGTCAGATTCAGATTGGAACCTGGTCTTCAGACGTCCCCTCCTAGCATGGGAAGAGGAGGAAGTGCAGAAACTAAATGATTTCCTGCAAAATGCGCCTAGGATCAATGAAGAGATGGTAGATTCTTGTTCCTGGGTAGCTCACCCGTCTGAAGAGTTCACCGTGGCATCAGTGTGGAAGTGGATGGAAGCAAGTCAAGGGGTAGATATTGCAGTAACTAGGTGTATTTGGATCAATTTAGCCCCTCCTAAAGCTCAATTCTTGAGTTGGTTAGCGTGGAGAGGAAGGGTAAAGTGTTATGAATTGTTGCAAAAAGTTGGAGTGTTGAGCCCAAACGCTTCTTCTCTCTGTGTGTTTTGTAAATCTGAGGTGGAGACTGTTAATCATGTGTTTATTCACTGCCATTTCACTTGGAAATTGTGGGCCAACTTGGTGAACTGGTGGAACTACAAATGGGTTAGCCCTGGATCAGTGGAGGGTTTATTGCTGTCATGGCCAGAGATAAAAATGAAGAAGAAGATGCTAATAGTTTGGAAAACACTGCCGGTAGCAGTAATGTGGTCAGTGTGGAGAAGCAGAAACGACTGTGTATTTAACAAGGTGCAACCGGATTGGACTGCTTTGGCAGAGCTAATAAAGGTGAGAGTAGCGTTGTGGGCTTCCTCAGCTTTAAAGGGGGTTAATTATTCGGTGCATGACATTATATACAATCTGAGTCAAGTCTGTTATGGTGTGTAGTTAAGTGATGGTGTTGCATAAGTGCTGTGTATGAGTTGTTAAGTGATGATAGTTTTGTCTGCTCTTCTGAAGAAGGTTTTGCATAAGTGCTGTGTATGAGTCCTGGATCTGTTGAGGAGATGGCTATGTGTTCAGGAGGCCTCTGACCTGTTGGATTTAAGCTGGTATAGTATGAGCTAAATGGGACTGCTGTAAGTAGTTTTCTTCCTGTAGCAGTGTTGTGATGAACTTGATGTGCTGGGATGCGTCTGTCTTGGGATGGTCTGGTTCTGCTCAGTTTAGCATAGTCTGCTGATGGCAAGAGGTGTAGTCTGATTTTATCTGCTGGGCATTTGGTTTGAACTCTGCCTTCATTCAAACAGGTCATGGTATGCTCTCAGAATCAACAGGGGAGGATGATCCAGAGGAGATTCAGCAGTATGTACAGAGGACTGATTTCTTGATCTGTATAGAGGAGGGTGGTCTGTGCAGTGGAGCATGTTCTTGGTCTGTGCAGTAGAGTGTGTTCCTGGGGGCTAATTTACCTTGAATCTGGTTTGGGTTGGACTGTGAAGGATGCAGATGGAAGGCTGCTGCTCTGTGTTGTTTTGTATTTTGGTATTCTGCTTTGGTGCATAGGTTTTGGCTCTTACCAGCTGTGTATACCAGTTGGTTCTTTGTTCCTTTTAGTTTAGTCTATCTGTTAACTTGCTTCTTTTCTTGGTCTCTCTTGTTGGTTCCTCACCAGCTGGCGCTTGGTGCTTTTTAGCACCAAGCTCCTCTTTATTGATGTAATATTGCTCTTTGTATGTTTCATCAATAAAGATTTAACTTTTGCCGATCAAAAAAAAAAATTATAAACCCAGTAAAATCATGCAAGTTTAAACCAAGATTCAAATTGTACTAATACTATTCCACGTTATTAAATTTTTTTATTTTACTTAAATACTCTGATTTGCATGTATAATAACTTCAAAAGATTCGGGTTCTCTTCTTGGGAAAGAAGGGTTCATCAAGACACAACAGTGACGATTGACACCAAAATACAGTATTTTACATTCATATGTTCAGTATTATAGTGATTTTAAACTGTATAATATTCAAATTAAAAATTTTCATGTAGAACAAAAATGAAGGTGAAAAGAAGAAATTCAAAGAGTAAATTAAGCAAACACATATATAAACCATGAAACAAAGGAGGGAGCTTTTACTTGAGGGAGTCGAATTTGGAGATTAAGAGCGAATTTGGAGATCACATAGGGTTGTCGACCTAGAGCAAGAGATTCAAGCCTTGAAGATAAAAAAATAAAATATAAATAAATAAAGTGTGTGTGTGTGTGTGTGTGTGAGAGAGAGAGAGAGAGAGAGAGAGAGAGAAGAGAATACATACCAATGATAGGGTTTACGAGGGCAACAACTTGCTCACCAAATTCGAGCTCTCTAGAATCCATGGTTCCTTATATTATAGTGTGCTTCGACAGTGATGCTCTGCAGATTCGAGCTCTTGCCGGTGGAGGAGTCAGAATGAGAGTGAGATGAGTAGCACGAAAATGGAGATGGAGATGGAGATGGAGATGGAGATGTGGAGAGAGAGAGAGAGAGAGAGAGAGAGAGAGATATTTGAATGTGAAAATGAGAGGAGGATTAGGGATTTTGACTATTTCTGAGAATATATATTGATCACACAATGGGATTTTATTTATTTTTTTGTTAATATATATATATATATTTTTTGTAGTTAATGCAATTTTTTTCTTTTGTTTTTTCAATTTTTTTTAGTTACTAAGGTTGAAAATTTATTTGTTTTATTTTTATTTTAATGAAAAAAAAAATTATTATTATTTTTTATTTGGTAGAAGTAGGGGTAATATTTTAATGAGAATTTATGTTTGTTTTAGATATTTTTTTTAATATATAAATTATTTTTTTAAAGATTTTTTTATAAAAATAATTTAACAATCTCATCACTAGCCATAGTGTATGGAAAAAGTTGAAAAGGGTGTAGGAGTAGATATGGGAGAAGTCAAAAAGTGGGTTAAGAGAAGTCAATAAATGCTGAGTTTTTTTTTTAAATAAAAAATTAGAAAATTAAGATTGGGATATTGGAGCTTCCACAAGGCTTGTAAGTTAAAAACCCTCATTTTCCTTATATAATATATAGATATAGATAGATAGATAGATAGATTGATAGATATTGATATAGATAAATTGATGGAGTTTTCTTAAGTGTGCAAGTGCACATCATGTGCCACTTACACAAAAAGTGTAAGTGTAAGGTGTAAGTATAAGTATAAGGTGTAAGTGTAAGGTGTAAGGTGTAAGTGGGTTGCACATGGTGTGCAACCTCAAAAAAGGTGTAAGTGTAAGGTTTAATTTTTTACAAAAGGTGTATGTGTAAGGTGTAAGTGTAAGGTATAAGGTGTAAGGTGTAAGTTGCACACCATAACCAAACCCTAAATTGATAGATAGATAGATATAGAT